TCAGTGTATCCAATAATGCATGCCAATAGGGGTCTGAGCCGAAATGCATGAATGGTACCTCGCGCCTTGGAGCCATGTGAAGAGTCAAGCGACAATCCTTGGACACCGCTTGCTAGGCTCGAGTCCGTAACGTCGCCAGCGGGAGTGTAAGAGCGCTGGGTAGTGCGACCAAAGCCGGACGTGAGGCAGTCGAACTCGGCTGAGAGAGAATCGATACAACCGGGAGCCTACTCGGCGAAGGAGCAGCCGGAATGGATTGAGCCGGAGCTGGATCAGGAGTCGACGGAAGCTGCCGATGCTTGTGGTGTCGGTGCGTCTTGTGATGCTTCTTGTGCTTCTTGTGCTTCTTGGATCGCTTCGACCGATGACCGGTAGGACTCGACGAGGCACGACGTCTGCGATGCTGCTGCTTCCCCGAAGCCGGCGCAGAGGCAGAACTCGTCCCGTCACCAGAATCCTTCGATGAAGGCCGCGAGGAGTGGCGATCACTCGGCGGCAAGGACTCATCACTCATCTCGTCGTCAGAGCCGAAGATTGCCGCATGAAGGCTTCTCGCTTGGGCAGAACGACGAGCATCTGCGGTCGCTGAGTCGGAGCCTGAAGGACTGCCAGCCGAGTTCTCTGATAGGGAAATGGGATCCAAGAGCGACCCAGCGGCAGGATTTGTCGAGCCGGTGGACGGTACGGAACCATCACCAGGCCCTAACACCTCGTCGTCAGACGCGTCGAGGTCCTCAAGCAGCCGAGCAGTCACAGTGCGGGCGGTCGCAGCAGATCTCCGGATAAGGCGCCCAGATGGGGACGTCAACACGGCCTTGGTCACAGGGAGAGACGGTCTGAGGACACTCACGGCCGGAGTCACTAGGTCAGTCGGCGTGGTGGATACGCTCAGACCCCGAGAAGACGACTGGGAGCGCCCAACCACCGTTAGCACGACGCTGAGCGGTGCACTCGACTGGGGCAACCCAGCGGAGATGGGCGAAGTCGAGCCTGAGCACAAACGCTCGTAGCCGGGACAGTCAGAGAAGCCACGACATCGGATGAAGATACCGGCGGTGGGCGAGTAGCCACGACTGATGAAGTCACCGGAGGACCGGAAGACAAAGAACCCGCCGAAGTCGTCGAAGCAACCGCAGGAACGGTGTCGACGGGCGGCTCAGGCAACTCAAACTCGAATTCAGCTTCGCTCGAAGCGTCATCGTCGTCTTCAGAGCGAGCAGAGACAGCGGGCTGAGTAGCAGAACTCAGCTGAAGGTGACGAACCTTCTTCCGCCGAGTCCGACGACGGGACTTTCCAGAGCGGGGCCTTCCTCCATCGGATACAGCAGCTTGAGGAGAACTTGAGTGCAAAAGGGCACTGATAGCCTCGTGTCCATCCAGCCCGGGAAGTGGACAAGCGTACGGCTGAGGCGGATGCGGCGCCAGTGAACGATGACGAGGACCTGCAGCAGTGGGAGACTTGGGGTTGGCATAACGTCGAAGCCGCTGAGTCGAAGTCATGTTCGCCAAAGGTGTCCGGTGAAGCTGTGCGAGGGTCGGCTCGGGAAGCTCGTAGCCGCCGCTGAGCTGACTGGAGTCGCAGCCGGTCTGCCAATGAAGTCACAGAAGACGCTTGACTAGCTGGGAGGGCCACACTAGGACCAATAGCAGAACTCGCCACTGGAGCATCTCGGCGAGGATGGACAATCAACTCCAACCGCCGAGTTTCACCAGCTGTCAATCGAGCATCGATCGCGAGGCCACACGTGTCCACTCACCGGCAAATGCTTGTATCCGCTTTGCCAATCTGGATGCTTCGGTGTTGTCAAAATATGGCTTGTGGGGTCCAATGCACCGAGCATGATTTAGTGTGGCGAGTTGCGTATCCTTGGCAGTGTCGAATGCTTGATGAAAACGGTTGAGTCGAGTGAGAC